TATCTTGGTAGTAGGATGTTGTTTGATACATTACATTTATAATGCGATAGTTTGATATAAACCAAATTTATAATTTATTTATTTTTATCAATTAGCATAAACTTTACAGTTGTTTTATAAGCTTTATTTTTCATAAAAAAATCAGTTAATTCCCCAAAACAAAAACTGAATAATAGTAACATTGTATAGGCTTAACTCTATTATACAATTATTATAAAAATAACATCAGGGATTGTCTTAACTCTAAACAACAAATACAGTATGTTTAGTCATGTGTTTGAACACAAACCAGCAACTTCTGGTAAAAATGATAACAATTATGTAGTATCTGAAAATTACATATGAAGAAAGGGAGAGTGAATGAAAAATGGTTATGTGAACAGTAAAAAAAAATTCCAAAGCTTATAATCTAATTAAAAACTGAACCAAAGATTGTTAATTTATGATAACAAAAATAAACTTTTTCTGTACTTGGAACGTGCATTTCCTTATTACAAAAATGAAAGCATCACAACAGAACAAACTGAAAAAATTTTAACTGCAGTCTTTTGAGTTACTTTAGTTTTTTTAAAAGAAATGAGAGGAATATTTTAGGCACCTCATTTAAATACTAACACAATAATTAAAAAGTTAGTAAGAAAAAGACAGCAATTCATAACTATCTCTCTCTCTTTAGCAAATAGTTTTTTCAGTTATTTCTCTTTTTATTTTACCCTTTATGCCTGATATCCAGTAAATTTATTTTTTCTGCTGGCAAGAATATGGTACTTTAATATGAAACAATTATATTAATCTTTTGTTAGAAGTTTTTCCAAACTGTGATTTCCTGTTGGACCCTACATGAAAGGGATACCATCTAGAGATGCTCATCTTAGGCTTTAAAATGTTTAAAAGTTTTAAAGCTTGGATGCAACTAATTATGAAAGATTCAATTTGTGCAGTTTAAATGTGAAACTAAAGTGCAATCAATTTGAAATCTTAAATGGCATTTAAAAAGTGAGAAATATTAACTAGCTGATTCAAGTCTTTGAAATTCAATCAAGTAGAGCTTAACTAGATTTCAAAAATTTTCAGTTAAAAAGAACTATTTTTTAATTCAAAAACCATACACAAGGCAAGCAAATATTTCATTAATTCATAAAACTCATTAATGTTATTGATTTGCCACTCTGAACTGCTCAACACATCACAGAGATAGATTACCACCTGTAGATATAACAATATGAATTTTTGTATATTAAAGTCACATTTTTTCGTTTAGTTAAGAAGAAAAGTCATAGTAGCAAAATACTTCTATTCTGATCAACATAATTTGAAATATACAAGTATCATTTTCTCACAAAGAAAATAAACAAGGTCTATAAAACTATAAAGAGACATCTATATTGATAAGATTGTGCCTTGCTCTGGTCCCTTGAAAATTTAAATGAAGAAATCAACTAGGCTACTATATATAGTTTTCAAATACTATGTACATCATAAAAGCTTAAAATTGATAGGCTTCCTGAATAGAATATTTTGCAGAAAATTTCTGATAACTATTAATAAAAAAAAACGTTTTGTTTATATTGGTGTCACAATTGTGAAAATTTCTTAATAATCTTAACCCTAAATTTGCAACTTAATGCCAGAATCCCTGAAATGTGGTGATACATTTTTCACATTATTATATCTGGTAGCATTAGTTCTTCACTTTTGATAGTTACATCATTTGGTCTAAAGAGTCCAAAACCAACACAAAATTTGAAATTTATTTTGATAAATCTTCCAAACTGGTTGTCAAAGATAACATATTTTGACAAGGGTTAACTGCTATTTTCAGTGTAAACTTAGCCATAAACTTAGATTTTTCATCATAATCAGTAACAAGTATTTGAATAAGAACAATAAAAAAGTACAAAAGATGACCTTTATGAATATTGTAGCAAAGAGAACAATGGATAAGCTTTGAGTTTTAATAACATCATCTTCTCTCTCTCACTCTTTTTTTTTTTTCTGAGGAAAAGAACCTTTTTATTTCTCACTTATAGTTTTCTTGATATTAGTTTTTATAAACTCTCTTTGCCCTCTTTTCATTAATAATTTGCTTTTGGTGGATATCTCATTATAGTCACATCCATATTTGCTGCATTTATTGCACTTGACACATTACTACACTTTACAATTGTAAGCTATTGAGCATCATTTTCTGATGTTTCCATAATGTTCTACACTGGTTTAACACATTTTAAAACAGGAAAAGAAAAGAAAAAATATATACTTTTGGTCAAAAAGTCGAAAATATTAGTCAAAGGAAGAGCATAATAGAAACCCTAATCCTTAGATATTTTCCTAGGATATATTTAGTATGTTCAGAAATTTTCTGAAAGTAGCAAACTCAAGATTCATCACATATCTGGACTTGGTTAAATTGCAAATATGGTGTTAATAAAAATAGAAAAAACTTAGCAAAATTGCAAAAGAAATAATTTTAAAAAGGAAGCTTTTACTAGAATAAATAAGTAATAAAACTTTTACTACGTACTCATGGATTGTGCATTTTTATCTAAACCAAATTATTAACATCAACAAACACATACATAAAGCAAACTATACAATAACTGTCATGGTTGTGATGTAGAAATAGTTTTAACCTCAAACTTGGAGGCTGGTTTTCTGACAACAAACAAATCTTTATATCAATCACAAAATTTTAGTGGTAAAAAATAAGCAAAATTTTGTAACATCAGAACTACTATTACGAAAAATTATGAAACAGAATATCATTAAAGGGAAAATCCACTATTTTATATCAAATATGTAGCATCAACATGTTTTAGTTGTATTATTATAACTGCTAGTGAATTGAAAGTTGTAAAAAATCTAATCTTCAATTACACTGTTGTCATCAATTTATGATCCAAATACCAAATATTATAAATATTGCTTAATTTTTTTCTATAACATTAGAATTCTTTTCTCTGTGAATTTATCTGAGACATGTGCTTTTAACCTTCAAAAACATATAAAAAAATCTAACCTTATCATGGTATCACATATTTTTTTCTAAAACTCATTATCAAACTTTACATGTTCACAAACACTTTAAACAAATTGTGTGTGCACTGTTTAGTGTTTTTGATACAAAAGTAAAATAACATAGTATTTGCAATACAAAACAAAGAAATATTTTAGAAAAACAACCAAACACACACACAAAAAGACACCATACTTGCATTTTCCTGCTGTGCTAAATGAACATTATATACAATTGATCTACAGTTTTGATTACAATAATATACAATCAAACACCACATCCAGACAATTCATTTGCTATCACCAACCAGTTTAAATATTGTTACGTTTCCGTTTTTTAATTAACTTATTTTCCGTAACTTCGTACCGACGAAACTTA